AGCGAGTACGTCAGCACGCTCATTGCTTTTTCCTTCTGAATATTAAGTACCAACGTACGAACCATACCTCAGTGCAATAAATATGTAAATTAGAAAATCTAAAAGGTAGCGACAAAGAGAATAAAATTCATTAATACCCATTCATATCTAGTTGCTATTTTAAAAAAGAGCAATTTATTAGCAGCTCAACTGGGTATTTCGAGATTACTGTTTGAATCCAAGATCGCAAGATATTTCACTAAACTCATTGATTTAACCAGTTTCAAATGCTCTCAAAACACCTTCAATATCGACCGGAATATCTCGTAAAATACTTCTAAGGGCACTCTTGAATTCCCATTGGCTGCAGTTGAGAGAATACTTCGTTTATTTTTTATTTCCAGGATTTAGCTTTTGCTTTCAATAAAAATGAGAACAATAATTAAAAAACAATTCGGAGCTACATACATCGATTGGGAGATTGTTCCCATGAAACTTACTACATATGGAGAAACAGCATCCATATCAGAATACAACGACGTCCAAGTAACTGCGATTTCGTGATTTGAGCAGAAATTAACTGACTGGCAATATCATTCATTTTTAATTTCAAATACATTTCGAAGTAGCATTTCCTCTTTTGTAGCAAGCGAATGCGATTTCAAAAATCAGAAATAAAATAAGAAGAATGAAAAATTTTTCATTTTGGATTAACAGATATTTGGTGTGTGTGATTGCCAAGATTTTTATATTCGCTTTCTGAAACCATTAAAACAATTCTGCTGGGGTCAAACTTAAGGGGGTATTATGGTCTAGAAAAAAATTTTCGATTTTTTTGCATATTTTCATAGTTTTAATATTCAAGAATATGTCTACAAGAGGATTTTCCAAAATTCAAATTTTTTCGGAGATATAAGTATTTTGCTGAGCAGGCATCCAAATCGGTTGGGCTGCAACTAATCGAACAAAAGAAATAATGGGTTCTCCGACTACCTGAATCTATATTTCTTAGTAAGCCATTTTGTTCCGTTATATCTATCTATCTATATATAAATTTATATATATTTCACGGCAATAGATTTACGGAACAGGTAAACACCAGTTTTACGAGTGCATCAGCAACAAAATTGAGGAAATCAAATGATGAAGAAGTAATTATAGATAATAATTACGGCGACTGTGTTTTGGAGTTTTTCACGGTCTTTTCAGCAATTTCTTTGTTTATTTCGTGTACTACATACAACAATGAGATTATATTTTCAAGAACGGCTCAACGCGGACTCGGGTTCAAAATTGCATATCCATTCCGGGTCTCAGATCATTGAAATTGCAAGATTTATTACTGTGTGTATTTTTAATGAAAGATTTACACCAAAATTGAAGATGATGACGATTATGGGAGTGAAAGTGGTCCAGAGCGCATGTAATTGCTATCCGACGAGACAACGCTCGGATTGACCGCTCCGAGATACGAGCATCCAGCGCATCAAAGGAGGCCAGAACTGCTCGAATAGAAAACAGAGACGCCGAAAATACTTTTTTCGAAGTCGAGGAAGGTCCGAGGTATGCAGCAGGAATGGTAGGTTGAATAAATGTAAGTTAAAAATATAATTTTGTGACTTAGACTGCAAAAGTTTTACTTGAAACTTTAAACGCGTTTTTCTCAAAAGTTTTTTTGAATCTGATACCCACGATTTCTCAGATTTTGCCGAACTGATTTATTTGAAATTTTAAGAGAGTTTTCTTTAGGGACTTGTCTATATCCGGAACTACGGCCATCCCCAAATTTTAATATTTACTATTTTTAAAAAATCGAAGAATGTTCAAAAAAGTGGTACAAAAATGATTTATTCTATAGACAGTCGCCATTTTGTAAAACCTTTTTGTAACTTTTCCATAGTTCCAGACATAGCGACATTATTGTAGATTGATAATCTTTTTTACTTTTTGATTTCAGATTGCTTGGAAAGTTAAAATCGTGGGTATGGTCACGCACCATATTTTTGAGACGCCCCACTTCATCAGCTGATAACTAACAGAATTTTAAATTTTTTATTTTTTAATTTTTTGTATGCTTCTAAGGTGAATAAATAATGTATAAAAAATTGATAATAAAAATATTGCTTGCTTTTTTACAGCACTTCAAAAATGACCTAAAATTCATATCTCTAGATCAGTATACCCCCTTAAGGAACCTGTAGTAACTTCTTACCTTGTTGCAGTCAATTGCTCCGTGTTAATTGATGAAATACAGATTTCGCTTTTCTTAGATTTTGGCAATAGTTTATATTTGAATTTTCATTGTCAGTATATTCTGTTTAGTAGGTAAAGAATTTGACAATATTCCGCAATAAATATCAGCTTGGAATACCATGTGTTTCAGAAAAATATGCCAATTAAGCACGTGCGGTTAAAATGTTTGAGGCAAAATCGGCGTCAACACTATTAAAGTGCAGATAAGATGCATGCATTGTTAGATTTAAAAAATAATTAAAATATAGTGCAAGTGGTGTATCTAATACCAGTTAAGTTAATTTAGGGGGGGGATGTCAGTGGAGTGCGATGCTCGTTAACTCTTTGGTATTTCCGGTATTAACCAGACAAAGTATCAGAAAGAATGAGAAACCGAATGGTTTATGGAAGGAGAGAGCTTTACTTGAACGTTCAAGTCTGAGGTTTTACGGGAATTGAAAGAAAAAACATGTCACGTATCAAGTACATTTAGCGAAATTTTCAGAAAATTCTAGTGCACACGAGGTACCTTCAATTGATCTTGATAGCTTTGTAGACTTTAAGGACATGCTATTTCTGATGGAAATAGTTTTGCAAATTATGTGCGTTTACCTAAGTTTGTTATTTTAGCAATATGGGTGAAAATGACTGGCAATCTATCCAGGATTTGCAAGCGGGGATAGCAACGGGCATCATAAGAGAGCACAATGAATTTGAAAAGAAATGAATCATTCAAGCTTTCGAAGACAAATTGTTAATGCCAGGTTCTCTAATTCTGTTAATCAAACTCCCTTAACAGAATTTTGAATTTTGCAATTTTATAATTCACTCTTGGTATTACTTTATCAGTCAAAATTCCCTTATCAAAAGTACACAAGGTGTATTTTACTCCTGACTTCGATTGGTTCACCTTAATCCCATACTTCTATCAGCACTGCTTTGGACTATAGAAGACAGAGGTTGGGGAATGATAATACTACGTCAACAGAATCACTCTACGAAAAATTCCAAACAACCCTTATTTTCCACTTTGTTCCTAACTATAGGTGACCATGGGCCAAAACTATTGATCACAGAATTATAATACGAAACTTTGAGGCACTCCACTATAAAATAATAGAAATTAACTCTTTGGCAAAAAATTTATAAATACACCGTTTTAAATTAAATTCAATGCAGTCAATAATAAATTCTAAAATTAAGCACGAGTTAGCACTAATATACGCTTTAATATGCTGTGTTTCATAATCTGTGTTAACGATTCTGGAACAGAAAAATAACTAGTAATTTGGAATATGACATAGTTTAACCGGAGTTCTACGCTTAGGCATCCGATCGTTTAAGATGTTGATAATGTGGTTTAAAGTCCAACATATGAAGATGAATAAATAAATCACAGATGTTCCACCGAACCAGATTGGGGTCTTCACCACATTTCAACAGATCAAAGAAATATTCCATAAATAATACTGGTGAGATTTATCAAATGTGAATTCCAAATTTTTAATCGGGTAAATAAACGTATTTGCAAATAGATAGAATAATTTTTTTGTCTTAGATGATAAAAATAACTGTTGCTAGATTTTAGTAAGTATTTTCTTTGCACTGAAGGACGTGTAATAAGATGATTTTGTTATGAAATAATAAAATCTAGTTTAAATTAAATATGATACAGAGCAGAAACCGCCAGATTGTATTTCATTCAGAGGAACCATGAAAAAAATTAATTAAAGCGAGCCATGGATAAAAAGTGGGGATTAGAATAGAAGATTAGAGAGAAAGTGTAAATTTTGCATAAAACAGCCATTCGGTGTCGTGGTGGAACAATTAAACCGTTTAATGCGACAAAATGCGTGCATTTGTTTAGTTATTGAAAACCTCTCTTTATAAAAATTGAAATATTAACAAATATATATTGTTATATTGAGGAAAAATGCATTGTTATGGACTAAAATATCATTGACGAATCGATATCAAAATAGCGATAAATTTCAATTAAAAACTTATAGCCTTAATAAACCTTTATGCTTAAATGGATTAAAATTGTTACGTTTCAAAAGAATCAAGTAATTAGAATCAAGAAATAGAACAAAGTTATTTCAGTTGCTAAGGCTAATTTTGTTCACAAGAGATAAATTCAAAATACAAACAAAATCTATGGGAATTAACGATTAATTCTATATTCGTAAAAATATGCAATGACAAAAAATTAATGATACGTTTATTATCACGAAATATGTAACCTTGAAATTCGTTTCTTGTAGGTGCTAATTAACCCGCTTTTGTCATAATTTGTTTGGTGTGTGGTTTATAATGCAGAGAAAAGCCTGGAAGCTGCGTACGTTAAACTTACATGTTATGGCTTGTGCGTAAAATTTAGAGCATTCGTTATTTTCATCAACGGCATGAATTGCTAGAACTACCATTACTTAACACAATAGTAATGGTAACGCTCTATTCTTTAAATATATTATTTAATTTTACTGATTGGTGACTATTCTTATTTAAGGGTATATGTAATGATAAATTTCTTCTAGGCCTTACCTTCGTTCTATGGGTTAGCTGCAATGATCATCCTTATCGAGAACTTGACTATTATTATATCTGAAATCTTGATTTATTAACATTCCATGTATACTAGGATGTAATTTTATCAGTTCCTATTTCTTTTGAATTAGCAGAAAACTTTGTGTCCCATTATTCATGTATTCTATTAGTATGTAGACATACGTCTTCGGAAACAGAACCATTATTAACGATCCCTTGTTAACTTGCTTAGTTGAAGTCAAATGAAATTAGTTACAACCTTACTTCCATTTGTAGAAGAATTCGTGGCGCATACGCCAGGTACCGTGACCACCCTCACTTTGGGTCGTAAGTCAGCCCGAGTGATGGCCACTGGCGGTGAAGACCGTCGAGTGAAGTTGTGGGCGGTTGGGAAACCCACTTGCATTATGAGTCTCTCTGGACACACTTCCTCAATCGACGCCGCCCAATTCTCACCAGACGAAGATTGCGTTGCTGCCGGATCACTCTCTGGATCTATAAGGGTGTGGGATTTGGAGGAGGCGAAATGTGAGTAATCAGTGTTTGATTTGTCTTAATGAAATTCCTATTCACTTTTGCACATTTTTGGGTATGTAGAATGGGATTTTAAATTTGTCATGATTTAACAGCTACCGTCTATCAGTCAGTCTTAAAATCTTCACCAAATAAAATTGGGAAATGTTGTAGTGCTCAATTAATAGAGATTTTCTTTTTTGTTTTATTTGAGTCAGTGATGCCCCGCCTACTTAGCTTAGCTTGAGTGTGGGTACAATGTGCTTGACTTCTTCAGCACTAAATTTTTCTCCGAAAATTATTCTTGGACTTCTTCATCTATTTGAAAATTCTTTCATTAGACGTTTCATGTCTCTTCTCAAGGTTGGTCGTTCGAGTTCAAATCACGCTTTTAAAGTTGTGATTCATTCAAGAATTGCTTACGTCCCTATAGGGATTTGTCAAGTTTTATTTCCTCGTTTTATTTTCCCTCATTTTTCCTCTTTCGAATGCTCAGATGACAGAAGCGTTCACATTACTCCATTCACACATTCATAACGTGATTTTTAGCTAAAGAGTTTACGAGTCATGCTTATTTCTTTCCACACATTTATTCTAAGCAAAATTTACTTGTGCGTGTAAAGCTCACTGACTATTTCATTTTGCCAGGCTGTGTATTTTTTCTCGGTCTAATCGATTACTTTCTTTGATTAAATTGATTAGTAAATATTATTGTGAAAAAAATTATCAACTTGAGAAGGGGGGTGAAACTTGGTTTGGGGAAATTTATTTATTTATTTATTTGTATCAAATGGCAGGCGTCTTGATGGTTATCATTAGCCCATTAGTTGACTTCAGACTTCACAGAGAGGAAGGAACATCAAATCGAAAAAATTCGAGAGGGG